TACTTTAACAAGAATTATAATAAAATTAGTAAATTATAATAAAAATTATAATTTAAAATAAAATATTAAAAACAAAATCATAATAAAATAATAAACTATAATAAATATAAAAAATAAGTCAAAAGGTAGAAAGAAAGAAAAGTAAAAAGTAAAGTTAAGCGTAACCTTTAAGGTAGAAACGATGGAGTGACTTTAAGAACAGACTCTTGAACCTATGGATGAGACCAGATTTTAGGGTGTTCGGAAGGGAGTTCCAAGAAAGGATACACTGGTATGTAATGGAATTAATTCCATGTTTACTTGTCTGTTTTAGTGGAAGAGTTAAATTGTTATAAGTGACTGATCTTAGGTTATGCCCACACGTTGTTCTATTATTAAAGTAGTTGTGAAATATAGTAGGAAGGACACCATGTTGTTGATTCCAGACAAATAAACAATTTAAGAACTGAATTAAGTCGTAGAAACGAAGAATTTTGGATGTAAGATATAGGATATCAGTAGGAAAATTTCTCGGACAAAAATGAATAATCCGTACCGCTCTATTTTGAAGTGAAACAACTCTAGAGAGACATACGGTTTTAGTCCCCAAACTTGACATGCGTATCGTAAATGTGAAGCAAAAATTGAGTGATATATAGAGAGCAATGTTTCAAAGTTAACGTAATGTCGAATTTTTGCTAACATGCCGTTGGAACGGCTTAACTTCAGAGTAAGGTCGAATATGTGTGTTTTGAATGAAAGTTTTTCATCTAAAACAACACCAAGATAAGTTATATTACTAGACAAGTACAATTTTTGACCACTTAATTGAAAGTTCAAGTATTTTGGAATATTTTTCTTAGTCTTTTTAGAAAAGTTATTATTTTGAGTCTTAAATATAATTATTTCTGATTTTTTAGTATTCAATGAGATTTTATTTGCTCTAAGCCATTGAACAAGACTGGCCATATCCTGATTAATATATTTATTTAGTTTTATGAGAGAGTTTGTTATTAATTGAAGATTAGTATCATCAGCAAAATGATACGTTTTTGAATGTTTAATAGAAAGATTAAAATCATTAATATAGATAATAAAGAGTAGAGGACCTAATATGGATCCCTGAGGTATACCAATTGAAACGTTTTTAATATCTGAGCTGGTTCCATTTATAGTTACAAACTGTTGACGATCAGAAAGTTTAAGTGACATCTTTAATAGTATGTGTAATTATAAGCATTAAAACACCATATACGGTATCATACTATTTATTTCTTTTCTCTATAAGTGATATTTCGGCTCATATAGTAAGAGCCATTATCAAACTAATAAAAACGTTAAAAAAAAAATATTCAAAACCTAAAGAAAACGTTTTAAATCGCGTCAATGGCACTTTGGTGATGACTCACCTTTTTTGTAAAATTAAAAAATGTTGAAATCTGACGTTGCAATGGCATCATTTGTTTACGTTTATTATAATTTTTTAAACGTTTTTTTTTTGAACAGAATTCGCTTGACTTAAAACACACAAACATATAATTGTATTTTTAACTAAAAAAAAATCTTGCTTTGTTTCTCACTTAATCTATTTATTTATTCTTTAACTGCAATTTGATTGTAGTTATTTATTAGCTTGCTTTATATAAAGAGTATTTGTAAATTTTTATAATGAGAAAATTATTAAAAAAATACTTTATGCTTACTTGACAACAAGAGTACTGTCTTCAACAGTAGCTGTCCATTAATTACGTTAACAAATGTTTGGAGATTACCTCCTCCTTCCCCATGTCAACAACTTGAAAAACAACTCTAAAAACCTCAACCCCTCCCTCCTTCTATAAAATTACTTCTTTACAAAACACTTGATTACCCCCACCAAAAATAAAAATAAAAAGAGAATAAAAAAGCAATATTTTTAATTGACAACTACAGCAAAATAATGAATAAAAGTAAAATATTTAGCAAAAAACCATTAAAAATTTTTTACTTATCAACAAATTTCTAATTTATAACTACAAAGGCTTACTCTAAACAGAAAGAGATTTTAAGACTCTCTCTCTCTCTCTCCCTCTCTCTTTATATATATATATATATATATATATATATATATATATATATATATATATATATATATATATATATATATATATATATATATATATATATATATATATATATATATATATATATATATATATATATATATATATATATATATATATATATATATATATATATATATATATATAGAGAGAGAGAGAGAGAGAGAGAGAGAGAGAGAGAAAGAGAGAGATATATCAAAGTAAATTAATAAGTAATAGAATAAGAATTAGGGTTTATTAAGTTAAGGTGAAATTCTATTAACTTTAAAATGTGCAATTGTATTTAAATTTATATATATGTTTGTAAATGTTTACAAAAATATATAAAATTAACATAACAATTTAAAGGCTATTTAAATGTTTACAAAGATTTTTCCAACTTCATGCAGAAATGAGATTAATGAGATTTTTATTAGCATATTTTTTTACAAACAAATCTAAATCTTATATCCATACCTCTAGATCTTCCAATGGAGATGTTAAATGTAATACAGAACTGCAAACGTTGCCTAATTTTCCTTTGTTAAGTAAATAAATTTATTTAAAAAAGTAATATTGTTATACCCTTTCCCCCTTCTATCCGCATTGATGAAACAGTGTTATAAAAATTACTGAACTGTGTTTTGCACATTGGAAGAAAAATAAATAACTACAACTACACAACAAAATGTTACAATCAAAGTTTATAACTAAAAACAAAAAAAAAGAACGATAATTAGGTGTAGTAGACCCTATAAAAAAGAATCATCAGCACTAGCTACGTCTAAAACACAAAAATGCATAATCAGGTTTCAGGTTTTTAAACACTGATATAATTAAGTAGTTGTACACATGTATGGAGTTTGAGTACTCTCAAGTCCCAAATAAAAGAGAGGGAACGTTTATTAATTTTTGGATAATTTTTCCGCCCACTTAAACTTATTAAGACCCAGTGGCAATTTTAGGGGGGTGAAAGAAGGTAATTTTCAAGTTATAGTCGGTTTTAAAACGAATTTAGTCAGCTAGTCGGGTATTTGATACAATTTAGTCAGGGAAATTTTAATTTTGAGGATCCTTTTTTTTTTTTTTTAAAAAGGCAGTCGGTTTTTTTTTAAGGATTCAAATTCCTAAACTTCTTTTTATTAACCCCCTCCCCCGTTTATAAGATCTGGACTAAAATTCACACACACCCTTCTTTTATTCCCATCCCCCTTTAAATTAAGGACTTGAAAGTAATAATAAAAATATCAGTTACCTGAAAAAACTTAAAAAAAAAAAAAGCAAGCATTTAAACCAAAAAAATTGTATCATGCGAGATATGAGAAATTGTGAGAGATAAATAAAGTAGCGTCTAACGACATTTGAAACAAGATATAAAAAAGAGAAACTTTTCGAGTTTTATAAAACTAAACTAGGATTGGTAAGATACTATGGTAACAAATACTATGGAACGATACTAAGGGACTTTATTAAGTTATCCCACTATCCCAAAGTCTGAGAGATCATTCAATTAAATCAGAAATTTGCAAAAACAACTCTGATACATGAAATGAAGCGTTGTACCTTATTGGAACGAATTACTAAAAAAGTATTTAAAAACAGACTATATAAAGATTGGCAACTGCTGTTAAAGTAAAAACTTTAAACTTTATGTTCCGCAACTATATTTGTAACAGCAATTAGTAATACAAATTTGTAATATTATTACTACTTTTTGTACAATCCAAAAAGAGAGGAAAAATGATCAATGAGGTATTTTCAAATTTCATCACTTAACGGTAAACCACGCATAGAAAGAAAAAGGTGTTTTTCATAAAATTAGTTGCAAAGAAAATTAAAATTCAAAAAATTTCTTGAATACTAAAAAAAGATTTACAGTCTACTATACTAAAAAAAAAAAGGATAGAATTACTTTATGATTACCAAAAGAGGTTTGCAAAATGGGTACGAAATAATTTCAGAAAATTGGAAACACTCCATGAAAAAATATGGAGTGTTCCTAATTAATAAAAATTGAGGACAAAAAATAAAGAAAAACCCGTATAAAGAAAAAAGGTATGCGGTTAGGCATCTGTTCGAATAACGTCATCGATTATCACATTAAGACTCAATGGTAAGACACAATGGTAATTTTGGTCATTAAGACACTATGGTAAACCATATTTTATATTTTTGACAGTAGTTCAAAAATATGGCAACCAAGTGTTCGTTGACAATTAGATATTTTAGCAAATATCTCCAAATATCAATCCCAAAAGGCCTTCCGTTTTTCCGTTTTTTTAGTAATTTTATTGTTTCTGTGGTTTGTTCGAATATCAATCCTATATTATTTTACGCTACTGAAAACAATCTATTTTTAGAGCACAAACTTTACGCTATTGACAATAGTATTGGCCGCCAAATTGGCGAGTTCACTATGTGGTCAGGAAGTGAGTTCCATACTCACGTCTTCAAAAGACGTTTAAAAAAGACGTCTTTTGAACGTTCAAAAGACGCCCAAAACGTGTATAAACGTTTAAAAGACGTCTTTTTAACGTCCGTGCCCACTAGGTATATGCATAAATATACGTACATATATATATATATATATATATATATATATATATATATATATATATATATATATATATATATATATATATATATATATATATTTTATATATATATATATATATATATATATATATATATATATATATATATATATATATAAATATATAAATATATATATAAATATATATATATATATGTGTGTGTGTATATATATATGTGTGTGTATATATATATATATATATATATATATATATATATATATATATATATATATATATATATATATATATATATATATATATATATATATATATACACACATATACATACATACATACGTGCGAGCAGGGGGAAACTATATTTGAATAAACAAGAACAACAACAAAATGCAACTCAACTATAGAAACTCTTTACAAACAAATTTATTAAAATGAAACCAAAAAGATATTAAAGTAGGATAGAGTTTTCAAATATACGAAGAAAACATCTTAATATAATATTTACATCTAAAAATATATCTAAACAACAAAATTCAGAATGAAGTTATAAAATAATCTAAAAATTAGGTCCGTTATTATCAACTGAGCATGTATTTTTTGATTCGGCATCACTGCTAGTGTACCCGTTATAATAGTTAGCTGAATGAGACTTCTTTGATCCTAAGCGATTTTCTTCTGAATTGCTGTAACTGGGGCCTGATTCACGTGATACAGGATCGCGAGTAGCTCGGCACATAATCAAGGCCTTAAATGAATTTCTGAAAGGCAAACTCATAAAGGCATAAATAAATCCATTAACGGCTGTGCTGCTGAATATTAAAAGTTCGGAGAGTTTATACAAATAACCGCTTATTTCAATGCCTGCTAAACGTAGTATTCTAAAAAAAGTAAAAGGGCTCCACAAAATAAAGAATGTCACTGTAACAACAAATAGCAAACGAATCGCCTTCATCCGCTTAGAAGCACGCACTTTCTCGCGCTCCATTGAGTTCATTTTTCGCTTTAAAGTGCTAAATGTTTGAAGAAGAGTTTTGTGAACACCGCTAAAATTAGGTTCCATAGCGGGATTACTTCCTTCCTCTTGTATAGTAAAGCAAATACTGGATTTTTTAACAGGTTTTTCTAACAGTTCGTTTCCGGTCCCGGTTAGTTTTTCTTTTTTATGTTTTACGGAGCATGAAATGCGCCAATGGACAAAGGCCATAATAAATAAAGGTAATAAATAAACCACGACTGAATATAAACCGTAAAAAATTCGTTGGTGTTTTATTGACCATCTTGCGTTGGTACAACTAAGTTCAGTTTTACCATTTTTTTTTAACGACTTTGTTACAGCATATCCATCCAAGAGAGGGGAGCATACACAGAGTGATATAAACCAAACGAATAATACCATTTTGTATATTGTTCTTTTAGTGCGGCGCTTTTTATGCGGGAAGCATAAAAGTAAATATCTCTCACACGATACAGCTACTAATGTAAATGTTGACGCACAAAATGAAAGTTCGAGCAAATAGCTTTGCATTTTACACCACCCTTCGCTAAACACCCAACTTTCAAATATAAACGCCACACAATCAAATATTGAAAGTAACACCATTAACAAATCGCTCACAGCGAGACTGGATAAAAAGATATTTACTGTATTTCTTGGAACTACCTGCCGAAACACTGCTGTTAAAATAAGTACGTTACTAACAATTGCGGTAAAAGACACCGAGCTGTAAAAGAAAACCAAGCCAATCGTCAATCCAGTGAGCTTTGGGGAGTTATTGTGAAAAGTAATTGGAGTTGTGGTGAAATTACCATCCGCCATTTTTTTACTTTAAATTTTTTCATAGACTAAAATATTTGGAAAGATTAAAACAACATCAAATAAAATTTTTAAATAAATTTTTAATTTTTAAATAAAAAATTAAAGTAATAATTAAAAAAAAATCTTCCTAAAAAAATATCTTTCTTATGAAATTCTTTTTATTGGATTCCGTTTGTTTTATCTCGTTGTTGTAGTAACTTATCAATATTGACTTAGATTTATAAATTGTTTACACAGCTTTCTTGGAAGATAATTAAAAAAAATTTCCATCGCGGAGATTTTAATAATCACTAAAAGTAATGTGAAAAAGTTGTTCAGTTATTTTTTTGCTTCTTTTCCAACATTCTAAAATTTTTAAGATATATTGATAATTCTTTGTTGAAAACGATAGATTATAAACAGCACCGATATTTATTTTAGTGGTGGCGAAGTAGAAAACTCAGAATCCTATCAGTCTGTTGATAAATCGTATCTTTTACTTAACAAAAACTAAACTTGGGGAAAAAAAAGAACTCGATATATGTCCTATTACCCAAGTTTAACAGACAAAACGCGAAAATGTGAACACACTTACTAACATAGTGTAAGAAAGTCATTCAAACACGGTTAACAGTTAAAAACAAAAAAAATTGTAAAATATAGAACGTAAATTTGCAAAACGCACTTGTTTAACTTAAAAATACACTGTGGCATCGATTGCAACAATTTGAAACGTTGATATGATTTTGTAAATGCTTCGAAAAAATTATGATAAATATTTTGATTACAAAAACTAAAAAAAAAAAAAAAAAAAAAGAAAAAATAATTGAATCATAATAGTACGGCAACAGTATCAAAGGTAGAAGATTATTAAAATTAATGTCATTTAAATCAAATAAAACACCGAAAACAGTGACGTTCCCACCAGGTGGGCAGATTGACTCGGAATTTTTTTTTACTTATATTATTTTATGTTAAAAAAAAGTATAAGCAATTTTTTATTATATTGGAATTATTTTTTAACAATTATAGCTTCAATTTTAGTTTTAAGATAGTAAAACATTTGCTCCATAAAAAGTGCCGTACACCTGCACACAATCAATAACTATGCGCCTATGTCCAGGTACCTATATCAAACCCTGTGAAGTCATGATATACGAATTTTATCAACCCTGTTAAAAGCCACACTAAAGTGTTCAAAAAGCTAATTTGAGTTCAGGGTTGTACTCCAACTCTGGTGATAAAAGAATAGTGAACTGTTGAACCCTTGCTCTTGGTTTTTTACTTTTTTTTTTTTTTAATCATTTTTTACGATTTTGTGTATAATTTTAAAAAACATTTAAATTGGTTTGCATAACTATATTTTAAAAATGTTGCAAGACTTTGGTTTTAGAATTTTTAAATAAAATGTTATTCAAATATTTGAACAAAAATATTTTTTATACTTATGTAAACAAAAGTAATTAAACATATGGTAGTAATTATCTCGAGTATATTAAGATTAAATTACGTTTTAAGTTGCTTAGTAACATCGTTAACTACCAAGTAACACTGATCTATTAGATTAAAAAATATAATTTTCTCAGTGACCTTTGTTAGTTATTACAAAAGCTATTAAAAATAACAAGTATATTATGAAATAAACTCTAAAACCTCGGCAGTTCATTTCAGAGTCGGCATCAGTCGGCAATATAGCTTTGAAAAGGATAGCACGTAATACCAATTATAGTAGAATGTATTAAGCGTGGGACCATGTGTTACGGGAGAGGGATCTTTTACTTTTATTACCCAATTTTAAAACTATACAGGTTTTTGAACTTATATAGCTTATGAACTAAATAGCTTAGGAACCATATGTCAGCAAAGCTTTGTATATCTGATATTTTTAATATCATTAAACATTTGTTTATACAAATATATTTATATAAAGGAAACCTTTGTTTAATAAAACTAAAAAAAAAAAAAAAATTGCTTTATACCTTTACATATACTTTTATATCTCTATATAAAATTATATAATCGTTTTATACCTTTATATATATGCTTTTAAATTTTTTTTAATTTTTACTTTTAAATATATGTATTTTTACTTTCTATGCATATAATTTATTTTAGTTTTAACTAATGATTTAAATAAATATACTTTTTCGAACTTTTTTTCTTTGATTGTTTCATAGATACTTCATCGTAAAATGTTATTCTGTGAAAAAATTACTGACATAAATTTAAATAATATGGAACGCTAAAAACAAATTAATAAATTATTGTTAAAATGCGCTCATAAAGCCGTGAAAATTTAATAGCCGTTCAAACTATAAAACTTATTTTAAACGCGTTTATGTTTTAATGTTTAAAACTATTTAAAATAATGTGCTAAAAATGCATAAACAACATGATTATTATATATTTTATACAAACGTTTTATACCAAGATGACAACCTATCAATGCTGTAAATTTGTTGTTTTTATAAAAAACATAACAATAACATTTAATAGGCAATTATAACAAGTCTATCGGGCTTGACACTGAGGGCCCTAATCACTAACATTCTGAAAAACTTGAATTTTTAATTGAAATTTTGAATATTTTTCAATAAAAATTTTTAAAAAGTTGTGAAGCAAAGGCGTAGCTAACTTTTATATAAACTTAATTCATATAAAAAATCCGCATTTGTTAATAGTAAAAACAAAAATAACCTTTTGCCAAATTCGAAATATCTCTGTTATACAACATAATATTGATTTTTAAACTCATGAAATTCAATGCTTTTGTTAAAAAAAAAATTAAGTTTTAAGAAAGATAGAGAACGAGAGATCCATATAGTCGCGTACATACTGCTTAAACCCTCCTCCCTTGTACGCATTCGTACATTTTTGGGTAACTCCTTTTCTCCTTCTATATTTTAATCATATCAATAAGTCTTCCAATTGAAGACCATATTATAAACACCAATTTTAATTTTTGTTTTTTAATTAAAAAAATCAAATAAGCTACAAGTTAGTTATTAATCTGATACTGTATGAGAATGATTGTCATCTCTATTTATAATGAGTGTAACACAGTAGTTAGGAAGTTGTACTTTCTAACTACTGTGAACCAAAAAAAAAAAACAAAAAAACGAGTCACATCTATATACTACATGTTAACCATTTGAAGAACTGTTACAAAAGAATTTCTTAATCATTTGATAGACACAAGTAGAATTGAAGTTTAAAAAAACTTTGTTGAAATTACCAGAAATAAAAATTAACTACTTCAAATGGAGTAATAAATGGAGTAAGCACACTGACAGTAGAAAATATTGGATTTGTGGCATTACTTGAAAATCTCTTATAAGTACATTTTTTCATAATTACTTCATAATTACCGCATTTTACATCAGGAGGTTATGTGCTTAATTAATTGACATAATTCAGATGTTAATGGAAATGGGTCATTTAAAAAATAGAAAAATTTGTTTTGAAAGTAAAATTTCTGAAAAACAATCAAGTTGCTTGCTCATTTCATCACACTATCAGAAGCTTTAGTTGTAATCTTGTTTTGAAAGTAATTAATGAAATTGTGTAAAAATCCATTTTTTTTTTTTTATCAAGCTGAGACTGTTACATAAATTTCAAAGGAATTAATAAAAATACAAAACAAAAAATACTTGAAATAAGCTTACATACAAGTAGAATTGTTAAAATCTAATAAATTATTTTTATTAGGAGCATTGATGTTTATCTACATTTGTGCAGACTGTTAAATATTTTTCACTTTTCGGAAGCACCTACAATTGTGAACAGTTTTTTCTCGAAATTGCAGCATGTTAAAACAGCACAGCAGAGAATTTATTTAGAAGATAAACATCTGATTCTTTTCGATTCTTAAAATTTTGTTATGCAGTAAAAAAACAGGCATTGATAAATTATGCAAACTTATTTATTAAATAATTTATAATATACATTAAATTAATTTTTGTGACATATTTAAACAAAAACATCAGTTACATATTTTAATACCCCGTTTATACTGACAATAAAACAGGTTTTATTTAAAACGCGTTTTATATGTTTTATATAATTGAAGTTTTTTTATATTAACACAAGCTTTTTATATAGACAAAAGAACCTCGCAGTATAGTTTTATTGTTGGAATAATTACTAGCGGCCTTTTTGGAATTTATAACTGCGGCTTTCATGTTGACGTCATAGTATAATATGGCCCTTGCTGTTAATAGGTTGGACCGTGGTTCAAAACATGTGCTTTGTTGTCAGTATGAACAAGATATGATTTATTAAAGAACAAGTTTTTAAAAACATCGTTTATAATTAAATTTATATTTTTGCTAATGAATTTATATTTTTGTATGCTGATAGAGAAAATTTGTTACAACTTTTTATTATTTATGATTTTATAAGTTATTGGGATGTAAACAGCTTTATAAATTAGTACAAATTATGCAAAATATACCATTTATAATTTTATCAAAATTTTATATACCAAAAATGTTACCATTTTTTATTGCAGATATTCTAAATGTATTTTTAAAATTTTTGTATAAAAACTTCCATTTTTTTAACTTAAACTTACAACAATAAAACAACAGCAAAAAATGCTGTTATTTTGTTACCAAACCACTAGCCTAAATACTGTTACTTTGTTACCAAACCAATAGCCTAAATGCTGTTACTTTGTTACCAAACCTCTAGCCTAAAGCAGATTCTTCATTTTTTCAGATGCAGATTTTTTTTGAAAATTTTTGCGCGGAAGCATGCACAAACTATGTTGAATAAAAAGTTTATGGAAACTTTCAAAGAAAATCTGAATGGGAGAATCGGCCCAATGTTGTTTTTGTCACGCAAGCGCGCTTTTGAACATTCAACAATGAAATAGCGATAAATTAACTTTTTGGGGTCGTCCATAAAATACGTGACACTTTAGGGAGAGGGGGAGTAGTCTTGTGACGACTCATACGGATTGTTATTAAGGAGTTACGGTGTTGTGACGAGGGTGGGAGTAGGAGAGGGCCTAAAATGGTCAAAAAATTGCATTTTTACGCAATTTGTGGACGACCCCTTAAGCAAAATAGGCCACGAACGCAGCTTTTCCATCACAACGCCAAGTATTTGAAGTTCATGAAGTAATTTTTAATAAATTTGATAATCAAGTTTAATATTTGAAACTACAATTTTTATCGGCAAAACAATACTGTTAATTTTAGACAACACTTTGATACATCTTGATTAAGATGAAGTAAGTGATTTAAAAAAAAACTTAAGAACAATATTAAAGACTTAAAATATTTTGTTTCAAAAATTTAAATGAAAACTTTTTTATTTACTAATTCTTACATTTTGATTTTAACATCTAATTGCATATTATTACATGTTTATCAACTTTACATAACAATTTTTTGATTTCTTTATCAAGCCAAACATATTTTAAGGTAATCTTGTCATTTTTTCTTTTTGAATACTTCTTAGTAGTGATTTTTCTTTTGCTATCTGTCAAACTAAAACACGGTATCATTAATATAGTTAACATTGTTTTATTTGCGAATGTTTCTTTATTTTTGTAAGAAATAAGTTATTTCTTATTTTACACCAATATAATTTTAATTTTTTTAAACGTTTTTTTTTTTTTTAATGCACGTATGTGTGGAAAAATTATTACAAACATCAAAAACTTAAATATTTTGTTGTTGTGACTAATGTGGTTTTTATTTTTATAATTTTAAAATGACTAATGTAATTTTTATTTTTATAAACTCTTGGGATTGCTCTGAACTAACAACCACCCAATCAGATGATTTATTACTATTGTCGAGAAGCACAATTTTGGACAAAATTTCGGATGTAAACCTATAATAGAAATATTATAGGTTTTCATCCGAAATTGTAAACTTATTGAGATGTTGAAAATGAACCTTCGAGATTGAATGTTACAAAAATTTTGAGAAATCAAACATGTTGCTACGTTGCTATGTACTGGATAACAGTATACAGTATTGGTGATGTTAATGATCAATATTTTAAATTTTTTTACGAAAACATTTTTTAAAACGTCAATAAATGGTGCGTTACTCTCATTAGCGATTCGAATAGTTTTTCACAAGTGCTAATTATTAGCATGTGAATTGAAAACAAGTTTTATATTTGGAGTTATCCCGACCTCATCAAAAAATTGATTCTTAAATATTAAAAAATGCTTGAAGTTAGGAAAAATTATTTTCCTATTTACACGAAGATATTTTGTATAAACTGACGAATAGACACACTTAAATTGATTTTAGTTTCTACTTGATTTAAAAAAAAAAAAATCATTTTTCAAGTCAAAATAAATTATACAACTCATTCAATTTTTTGTAAGAAAATATTTTTATGAGAAAATAATCTTTAGTAAAAGCAAGAAATTAATCTTTAGTAAAAGCAATCTGTTAAGCTTGTTTCTCAAAGATTTTCAGCCTAGTCAAAACATGAGTCATTTAAAAATCTAAGGTGAGATATACTTCAAATTAATTTAAGGTTATTATAAAAAGCTTTTGTCTAGAAATATGTGCACAGTAGCATAGCGAGACGAGGGCCCAAAAGGCTTTTACCCGTTTAACAACCGTCTCGCTACGCTACTGTGCACTAACTAAAGCAACACCAAACTTTAGTTCTAATTTTAAGTTAGAACTAAAGCAACCCCTTCCCAGGGTTTGGGGTTGAGGTTGCTTTAGTTCTATCTTGAAGTTTGAACTCCCACCCGAATTTAAAATAATTAGAGTTTAAGAAAAAAAAAAGTTAGCACCCAAAAATTCCCGCCCCGGTTCTCTTTGCTCTCTACAAATCTGTTTAAATTGGGTTATCAATTCTAAATATAAATCTTACTAAAGTTATTTAAAAATGAAAATATTTTAGACAAAAAATAAAATAAAAATTTAAAAATAAAGAATTCATTTTTAATATTTTTTGTGTCTAACATTTAGATTATTCTTATTTTATTATTTTACTATTTCTTATTATTATTTGTATTTTTTTTTTTTGCAAATATAAAAGCACCGCGGAACAGCAAATGATCAGTATTTTTTACGCTATGACGTTACATTTACGTACTTTAACCACAGTGCCACAGCCGAATTAAGCATTTATCACGTTTTACGAATGAATAAAAAAAAAGTCACGAGATACTTCGAAAAAGTACGACTACGTAATTAGTAACAAAAAATATATATATATTACAGAAAATTCTCTAAAGAATAAGATCACGAATTTCGAAGTTCAACGCGATACTTAAAAATAATTATAAAATAATATTCAAAATATTAGAAGTTCTATATTATAATTAAACTAGAAGGGGTTTAAAGAGAATACTAACACTATTATCATAGAGTAGAACATAATTTACCAACAATTATTTACCTCTCAAGAGGTTTTCAATCTTGACATTTTCTTAGTTTTAAAACTTTCAGTCTTTAATAAAAGTAATAAAAAATAAATGTCATTTTAATAAAAAACTAAGCGCTTTATTAGGCATTTTTGTAAATGTCGACACGAGCATTGAGCAATAAAACTAACGAGAATTAGATTAATTCTGGAAAATCGATCGAGCATTTATGTGTTCGTATAATATTATTTTTGAAATTTTCAAAAAATTTCATAAAATTGTTTATAAGTTTGATCTATTGAAACTAGCCTTTGAAAAATATTAGAGTAACTTTTTTGAATTTTTTTGTTTTTGTTTACGAACATAACGGTTTTGTATAAAAGTAAATATCAAACCTCAACATGGATCACAAAGTCAAAAGATAAAGGACAACTTTATCTTTTGAAACTATTTTGAAAATATTTAGACTTAACGCTTGAATGATTTTGTAACAAAGTTGGTTTTTGTGGTTTTATAGACTTTCGAACACCTCGCCTTAACTTAGTGATATAATTTTTAAATATCTTAAAACAATAAAATTAATTTTCAAACAAATTTAAAAAATTACATGGCTTGTATTTAAGAGAATAATAATAGAGTAATAGAAAAAATAAATTAATGTTAATATTTATTTAAGGTTTCTTTGACATGAAATGAAACGCAATTAATTGAAATTCAAATATTGGGATTCACGACCAATAAGTGCGCAACCCTCCACCCACGCCCTACAATTATGTACGATTAAGAAACTACTTACACAAAAAAAAATCTTAACACCATTTAAAGTATTCAGAAAACGCTATACTAAAAAACTACAAGTCACGTGAGCATTTTACTTTACGTATAATATCCGCGTTAAAGTTTTTTATTTTATTAGTCACGTTTTTACTTATAGCAATATAAAAACGTTTAGTACCTTTTAGACTAATAAAAATCGTTAACGTCAATAAGATGTAATCATTTTTTTAAGAAACATTTAAAATATAATATTTTTATTACATTCATTATTATTTACATTAATAATAAGGTTTTTGTTGTCACGTTTTAATATACTATTTTGTAAACAAATTTGTAAGTATTTACAATGTGCAAAAAAATTTAAAAACTTTTTTTTACAAACTTTATTCAATAAAATTATTGAGTTTTTTAATTTATAAAAATTTTTTATTGAATACAACCAGTGTTGATAATGAAATACGCTATCTTGTGTTAGTAAGTTCATTGCTACACTACTGCGTTTTAATTTTTCGTTCTCTTATTTTCTTTATATACTCTCGCAATCAATAAAGTTTTGATGTTTAACTTATTTTATAAGCTATTTGTAAATACTGGATTAAATTAATGTAAATATTGGATAAATTACAAATCATTTTTTTATAATACATCTCACAGCTGTTAAAAAAACAATGTTTTGCCAAATATTAGTTTATTTTAAAAAATGAATAAAAAACTTCACATTTTAAAA